AAGCAGGCTCCATGCACCGGGAGCCCGACGTGGGATTCGATCCCGGGTCTCCAGGATCGCGCCCTGGGCCAAAGGCAGGCGCCAAACCGCTGCGCCGGCCAGGGATCCCACAAAGGGAATCTTAAATTTTTTCATTAAATCTTAAAAATGAGTCTCACGAAGCTGACGGTTTTTAGAACTGGCTGTTGAAAGAGGCAGAGTCTGCGTGGGGTGCTCCCTGCGGAGTTCCGTGAAAGATGATATCCAGAGCTGGATTCTACGCAGAGCAAAGTGCATCTGCCCAGAGGGCTCAGGACTCGGCTTTAAAAAGAAAAAGTCTGGATTGGTTGCCTGCCAACGCTAGTAGGTGATACTGGAATTCTCCAGCATCTACACGCTAATAGGGCCACCTTTCACCGTGTTTCTTGCATCTGCCCACCTCAGTGGTGTGGAATAACTAACTTAATCCAGGATAATTGGTTGTTTTCACTGACACAGCAAACCCTGGTCAAAGGTGCAGTAAGGTGGATAATATAAAGATAAGTAAGAAAGAAAAGGCATGAGATCTTCCAGGCGCTGTGAAATGAGCGACGTTTCGAATGTAAAATATCTCAGGCTCGTTCAGTTGCTTGTCGACGTGGGAGCCACAAACAGGACTCCTGCGCTCTCCGGATTTCTAGAGTTAGGACGTGCTCAGTTGTCGGGCTGAGAATGTTACTCACTGACGAGACAGTGAATAACATTCAGTATTGCAACCTGCCGTTTCCAATTTCCTGAACCATCAGGAGAATATAATCCTTCTCTTCAGTGTTATTTATGAACCATAACTTTTGAACCAATTACACGTGGCCAGAATGTAATCTCTTGTGTATAAAGTCATGGGAACTCTCTGGAATCTAATTGTCTCTGGAACACATAGCTAAGCAGAGAGAACTGTAAAGGGATCAACACATACTGTGCGGAATATGTTTTGTGATTTCTTTATTTTTATAAATTCATTTTTTATCGGTGTTCGATTTGCCAACATACAGAATAACACCCAGTGCTCATCCCGTCAAGTGCCCCCCTCAGTGCCCGTCACCCAGTCACCCCCACCCCCCGCCCTCCTCCCCTTCCACCACCCCTAGTTCGTCTCCAAGAGTTAGGAGTCTTTCATGTTCTGTCTCCCTTTCTGATGTTTTGTGATTTCTTTGCATCACGAGCTTGTGTTTCTCTCCAGGGGTATGATTCCCCTCAGTGTGACTGGGAACACAAGTCTCTTCTAACCAAGTTATTCTCTTCCTCTGGGTCTATTCCTTGGTGAAAATAAGAATACACCTATAAATAGTCTGCAGAATGATCTAGATTAGGCCAATTCATTCACTGATGGGTGCATTTATTATTTAATGAGTATCGATTCCCTAGGCTATGGCAAGGGTTGAAGTAGGTTTGGATATTACATAGGTGTAAACGTTTGATTTCAGAAAGTAAAGGATGGATAGGTGGGTGCTTGGATGGATGGGGTCGGTGGGTATGTGGATGGATAAACGGCTGGATAGATGGGTAAGTGGACTGGTGGGTGGGTGGAGGAATGTAAGGAAGCATAGGTTGATGATGGATAGAAAAATGGATGGATGGATGGATGGATGGACGGACAGATGAATGGATTGGTGGGTGGATGGATTGGTGGGTAGATGAATGAATGGATGGATGGAATGGGTGGATGATGGATGGATGGATGGATGGATGGATGGATAAATGGGTAAGTGGACTGATGGGTACATGGATGGATGGATGGATTGGTGGGTGGATGGATTGGTGGGTAGATGGGTGAATGGATGGATGGACGATGGATGGAAAATGGGTGGATAAATGGATGGATAAGTGGATGGTGGGTGGATGGAAGGATAGAGTGATGTATAGAAAGATGGATGAATGGATGGATGGATGGATGGATGATGAATGGAAAAATGGGTGGATGGATGGATGGATACATGGGTGGTTAGATGATAAATGGACTGGGGGGTGGATGGAGAATAAATGACTGATGGATAGAAAGATGGCTGGATGAATTGAATGGATCCACAGCTGGGTGAGTAGATGGGTGGGTGATGGATAGGTGAAAGATTCTCAACTTCGTGGCTTGCCGCCCATCCCCTTCCGTCCTTCAGGCTGTTAGCTGAGGCTATGGGTAGGTGTGCTGTTGCAGGGGCCCCAAGGATGAGCTGTGTTATCGTGGGCATGCAAGTCAACCACTCTGCCCCTCCGCTGTCACATGCTTAAAGCAAACCCATCCACAGTGCCCATCTCACGGGACTGTCCTGAAGGCTTTGTGAGGAAGTCTGGGTCCCGACGGCGTAGTGAGAGCTCAGGACAAGATACCACAACGGAGAGAGTGTGGAATGTCAGTCAACACGGGGAAGACGGATAACCGTGTGCAAAACCCGAGAACAGTGAGCTGTCCCCTCTCACACGGGTGCACAAAATCATCTAAAAAGCCAGCGAGAATGTCGTAGGGGGTCAACACATGGGGCCTGCAAGTGCGACACACAGGAGTTCGCATCACACCTGCTCCCGGCTTGCGCTTCCCCGGGATCAAGCAACTTCCGTTCGTCAGCTCCCCAATCTGTAAAGGATCGAGAGCACCGCTCCCGTCCTCGCAGGGGTGAGAGGGAGTAAATGAGGCAGCGCTGGCTAGGACACCGTAGTGATGATATGTTTTTCATGCATCCGCGTGTTACGACAGCGCGGGCGCTAAGTGGCAACGCTTATGCCAGATCAATGGCCTCCCTGACTCCTAGAATCGACTCCTGAGAACGGATCCTTCCACGGCTTCGTTTGCAAAGGAAGGCAGGCGCGTGTGGGCGTGACTTCTCCTGGGTTCTCCCAGAGCGCTGAGGTTTTGCAAAACGTACTGATGCTTTGGATCTGAAAACATTTATGATGAGCACCAGACACCTAACAATAATCACTATTTTTTTTTTTTTTTGCTTCATCATTTCTACGATTTTTGGCGCGCGTCCTGAATTTATCGTAGCCGAGAGTTTCCATGTGAATCTCGGAGACAACCGTCTTCCCATCCTGTCACCGCTGCCACGGCAAACACAACTGCAACCTCTGATGGGGCCATTTCCGTTTAGAACGAGAAACGTCCCCTTGCCACTCAGATTTTTAGACAAGGTCTACGATCCTTTGTCTTTTTCTAACATAAGGTTTTCAGAGAGGACTGTAAATTCTTATCTTCTTAGCCAGCGTGCCTGGATAAACGTACACCCTGTGACTTAATGAGATAACCCTGCCCTCTTAATTCAACAGGCTTCTCTCACGTAAGGTCACAAACATCTTTTTTTTTTTTTTTGTCCTAACTTTGTTCCTTGGTGAAGTGAAAACGTTCAAAATAACAGTCGCTGGGGATCCCTGGGTGGCGCAGCGGTTTGGCGCCTGCCTTTGGCCCAGGGCGCGATCCTGGAGACCCGGGATCGAATCCCACGTCGGGCTCCCGGTGCATGGAGCCTGCTTCTCCCTCTGCCTGTGTCTCTGCCTCTCTCTCTCTCTCTCTGTGACTATCATAAATAAAAAATTAAAAAAAAAATAACAGTCGCTGGCCCATGTGGAGAATGTACACCGTAGTCGTTAACGACATTCTACGTGCATGAAGATACTTATCACGCTGGCCACATACAGTAGGCTTCCTGTTATTGTATCTTGGTGGGCTTTTTGAAATTTTGGTCTAAAAAAATAAATAAATAAATGTTCGGTCTATTTAAATTTTTTTATATTTAGATTCCTTTAGTTAATAGTGTATAGTTAGTTTCAGAAGTAGAGGTCAGTGGTTCATCAGTTGCATATAACCCAGTCTCATTGCATCCCGTGCCTTCCTTCATGCCCATCGCCCGGTTGCCCCATCCCCCACCCACCCCCATCTTCACTTTTCTAATCGGGTCCCAGTGATGAGATGCTCAAATCTGACTGTAAGCCGGTGAAGCCTGAGTCTAGAGCATGCTCTTAGCTAGGACTCCCCAACCCAGGGGGTCTTCCCACCTTCTCCCACACCTGTTGAAATTAGGGGAATCTCTTTTGCATAACGGTCATGACATGTCTGGCACCACTGAGGATTCTCCACATTTAGGCCTCCTGGGGGGTCTTTACGGCACATCAGAAAACATGGGGGCCGGGCTGGCGATGTCAGGACTCCCTCCCTCCCCGTGCCTGGGCGCTCAGCCCCTGACAAATCCCCCAGGTGACCACTGAGGCAGCCACTTCACGACCACGTCATCTGCTGCCTTCCATGAGCCATGCCCCACATCAAGGAAACCCCCTTTCCAAAGGGAACATGATGCCCCCACCCGGTCCCTCCCAACACTGGATCCTTGTAGATACAGAAAGTAGCTCTTAGCCCAGCTTTTCCCATATTTTCCTTCTCTGGGTTAAAAGTAAAATGAATGCATTCTAAGCAGAAGCGTTAGTTTTTTTTTTTTTCCTCACCCAATTATAATTGCACTTGTTATGTGTTTCCGTCCTGATCTGGGTTGCGTTGAGGGCCTGCTTTGCATCTAATAGGGGGGATGTGTCCCCTAGAGGGGCAGCTCAGAAATCAGGCACTCGCCCCGTGAAAACTGAGGGCAGTGGGCCTGCGCGGTTCTGTAGGACCAGAGGTGAGGGGCTTCCTGAACCCTCCTGAGATACGGGGAAAACCTGACCTCATTTAGGAAGATGACCTCAGAAGAGCTCTGGTGTTAAATTCAAAACCAAGTGTTTGCCGTTGCTTTTTCATCCTGGTTGTTTTAATAGAAACAACACCCTTTCACGCCTATCAGAAGCACTCGGGAGTGCAATGAGAAGTGTCTCATTCTGCAAAGCACGCAGAGACTAGACGACGCCAGCCTCATGTGATCAACGCCTTCCTGCCCTGGCCCGTCTCCTGTCTGCGGGGACACTGAACCCTCTCTCTGCGTGTCCCAAGCGCTACCGTGCTGGCGGGCCCGGTTGCCACACTTGTGTTACCACAATGACACAAAGATCTGTACCTACGCCGTGCGGTTTCAAAAATATTTTATTTTCTGGAATAGCCATAATGTCTCAGCTTTGTCTTTGTGGCCTCCCTCCGCGTGGGGAGGCGGAAGCTATGACAGGACGACACGGAGGCGCCATACATCACACCTGCGAGACAGAACGATGGTAGCGTTAGAGGAGAGTGTATAAAATGCTCACCAGGGTGCATACGGACAGGATGGGGGGTGGGTGGGCGTTGCCGGGTTGCACACCGCCGAGTACATTCATGGAGACGCGTACACGCCCCGCGTGGCAGGGCCCACCTGAATTGTCATCTGGTCTCCCTCGGGTTTTCAACCAAGCAGAGGAAAACGACCTCAAAGTCCTCCGTGGCTGCCAGACGGAGGGCAATGCAACTTCTGCCACATGATGCCATTTAGAAAGTGCCTGATGCATTGTAGAGAGTCCAAATGTAACTAACGCTAGGCGTGTTTCTAGAATTTTCCACAACTCTCTTCTTCGTCCATGTGCAAAATCTCCAGTCTGTGTCTTACGGGGTCATTCGTTTCTTCCAGAGCGTGGTTCCTTCTCCTTGCAACAGACTGACAAAGATATCTGGGATATCTTGGCAACCAGGGGGATGGGGAGTTCCTTGTGTCTCTTCCTTTGAGCATTTGCTCTGCACACAGGAGGAGGCCAGAAAGCACTGGGGGCGGTTCGTGAATTTTTTTTTATTTTTATATATATATATATTTTTTTACAGCATGGATTGCTTCTGAGATGAAGTGTGTCCGGCCCCAGTTGCACCTACCTTACGGATGGTATAATCTGAAGCTGATTGTCCTCTGGACGTCTCTAGCCGGGAATAAGAAGAGACACTTCCGATGGGCTGCCCTACCGGCGTTGGAGCCCCTGTGAGTTACGACTATGCACAAGGGGAAGGCTGATGAGAACTTCACAACAGAGTGGGCCAGGCGGGCGGGCAGGGATGGCTGGATGGGACCACTGGGGTGTATGGAGGTTACAGATGCCAGCATGGCCCCGGAGGAGACACTGCCCATGAGTCCTGACCGCCTGGTAATGGCTTGGCAAGATGAGTGACAGGGGGGTGGCCTTCACCCTCACTGGTGGTCACCCCACCCTTCACCCCCACAATGCAGCTGGGATGGCATGCTGGTTGGCAGTCTCCAGAAAAGGGCTGAGCAGTGACCTCCAGGGATCCACCCCTCGACATTGGAGTCCTGGCCTGCCGGTGGCCCACGATGGAGATGTTCTCATAACCTCTTGACTTGTACCTGGAGAACAGGTGAACAAAGGCTCCACAGCCACCGGAGCTCTCCGTCCCTTCAGGGGCCCTAAAAAGGCAGAAAGAGAAAAAGAAAGAAAGAAAACAAATGTGTCAGAGGAAAAACAGGTGAGCAGTCTTCACGGCTACTGAGAAGCACTTCACCCAGTGTCCACATCTTGGTTCCTAACGCAAGCTCAAATCAAAGAAACCGGGGCTCCCTGGAGAACTGGCTAGTTCCAGGACCCACACTTGAAAGACAAAGGATGTGCCTGGAGCATCTTGTAGTCCTAGAAGGCGAGGAGACGCTCAAAACCCAAAATGTTTGGGGACATGTCAAAGGGACGCAGAAGCCACCCCGAAAGAGGTGCCCAATGGCCAACACTGCGACACTTTGAGAATAAAAATGAAATGCCATTGGGTTGTCACCCAACAGGTAAAATAAATATCCACAGGAGCCCATACCGATGCACCTACATGATTGCATCACACCAACAAATGGGGGAGAAGAGACAAATGTCCCGTGCGGAAGAATTCCAAATAACTGACGTAGGGCCTCCACCCTCAAGAAGGTAAACTCCTAATCCTTAAGTGTGGGCTGTACACAGTGACTTCCTTCCAAAAGGAGGAGAAACTGGACCAATAGAACCTCAGCCAGATGGTCACGATCAATACCCACAGCGGTAAGTCATGCTGACAGTAGGTACCTTTGATAAAATGTGCCCAGAATGGCATTTCATTTCTGTGGTCCTCCCCTCAGAAACCGATCACCCCAGTCTGCTCATGGCCAAAACCTCAGACAAATCCCCATAGAAGACATCCTTAAAAAAAAAAAAAAAGCCTGACCAGTCCTGCTCAAAGCTGTGAAGGTCATCAAGAACAAAGAATATGAAAAAAAATAAAAAAAAAGAACAAGGAATATGAGGAATTCCTCAAGAAATTGTCGAAGAAGCATCACAACCAAGAGGAACCTAAGGAGACATGACAACTAATGAAATATGGCATCCTGGATGGGTCCTGGGGCAGGTCAAGGGCACTAGGTTAGAAGTAGTGACACCCAAATAGAAGTCTGGGATTTACCTTCACAAAAAAGGCAGGAGGGGGCTTGACATGCGCCTTCATAAATAAAATGTTCCGTTCGTGGATTGTTTCTATTCTGCATATGGCTGGACCAAGTGGAACCAAGATCTGGCCATCTGGGCCATCTGAAGCCTTAGGAGACATTCCGTGTAGCCTAGTGGGGCACTCCCAGTCCCTGCTAATCTCTTTTTTGGGGTTCCCACCCCAAAAAGCAACCATCCATCAAAGAAGCAGATCCTCTGGTCACGTGTAGACCCACTCACGTTGTATGGGCCCGTCCCCCAGCCAGCAATACCACATGTAGAGAACAAGCACATGTAGAGGTGGTTGATAATGTTCTCTGAGGTCACTTGGCCAGACAGGCAGCTGCCCACCCCCGTGTCTCTCATGCCCATTGACCCCCGAGCCCCTCCACTTTGGACAGGAAGTGGCGCAAAGTTTTTCCCAGATAGGATGTTCTGAACCTGTAGGACCAAGCCGGACCCAGTGCCTGGGGGCTCCCAAGTGGGGCATGACGATGAGGTCTCATTGGCTTCCGGACCACGACGTGTGGAGCAGAAACCGTACTGCAGAGCCTCCCGACCCGGGGCACAGCATGCGCGTCTCTGTGTGCGTGTGCACGCGCTCTCTCTACCTGGAAGGCCCTCTGGAGGACCGCTTTTTGCCCTTCAGGGCCCCACCGAGGGTCATGTCCTCTGGGAAACCTCGCCGCCACTTCCCGCCCCGGCCCTGCTTGGGTTCCAACTCCATGTTTCTGTAGCACAGAGACGGAGCGGTCTGTCTACCAGGTGTTTCATGGCAGCCTGCCCAGACTTCTGTTCCAGCATGGATCAAAATGTACCGCTATTATCAAATAACCTTGCCGTCTCCCCAGCCGGGAATTTACACTCAGGGAATATGAGCCACATCTGGCAGATATTGCGGCTCCTGGAACAGGGAAGCAGGTCAGCAAGGGTTTTAAGTGACTGCTATAGGCTGAATTGTGTCCCCCTCAAAAAGTCACGTATTGAAGCCCTCACCCCCAGGACCTCAGAATGGGCCTCTGTTGGGATCTACGGGCCTTTAAAGAGGGGATTAAGGCAAAATGAGGTCACTGGGGATAGATCCTAATCTGATAGGACTGGGGTCCTTCTAAGAAGAGGGGATGAGGACATAGAGATGCACAGAGGGACGACCACGTGAGGACACGAGGAGGAGACGGTGTCTACATGACCAGGAGAGGGGCCTCGGTGGTGACCACAAGCCACGTGAGGAGTGGCACTGAAATCGATTAAAATTCAGCACAATTTAAAACCCGGGGGCGCTCGGTGGGTGTAGCCACCTCCAAGTGTATCAGCCAGAGCAGGTCTACAGTTCTCACCCACCCTGTTCTTGGTTGGATTCCTCTCCTCCGACCCTCAAGGAAGCCCTGCCCATAGCTGGTCCTCTCCCAGCTGTCCCCAGAAGAAGGCCCTTGGGATGGTTGCGCCATCTTGAAATGACGGCCGCAAGAGGCAAGCAGGATCCTCTTCTAGACCTTCCGCAAGGGACCCGGCTGCCCACACCTTGACTTCATTCCCGTTACACTGCCTTTGCAATTCTGGCCTCCTGAAGTGCCAGAGAAGAGACTTCTGGTGTTTTAGGGTGCGTGCGCTTGGGATAAGACATCACGGCAACCGCGGGAAGCGGATGCAGATCGTGCGGGAGCCGGCCTTGCCCGGACCGTCTGGAACCGCAGAGTGGCCCGCGGCCGGGCCCGAATGTGCTCCATGCCTCTTTTTTTTTTAATAACTCAGCTGCGTTCTGACCTCCTTGTCTCAACGGCACCTCTCAGAATCGGGGCAGCCTCTCAAATTGGGGCAAGATCCTCCTCCTGAGAACATCTGAGTTGCCTACGGGCAGGGGGCTCCTCTCAGCCCCCTCACCACCACCCCCCCGCCCCCAGGGTGTGCCGACTCCAGTCTGGAAGCCACGGACCGCAGCAGCGACGAGACACGGTTTCCACTGAGCTAAACACTGGAGCAGGGGCCCCACTGCCTAGTTCCCAGCTCCACCGTTTCCTCCAAACTGGGTGTTTCGTTGATTTCTTGATAAATTATCTCAGTGCAGTATTGCATAGGGACCCAGAGGCCTCAGATAACCGTCTGACCAAGGAGATAAGCACGGTTCACGCGCTGCCATCCCTCTGACGTGCACACGAGTTTTGTTTGGTCTTTGTCCAAAGCCGCGAACAACGGGGTACAAGACATGCGCACACACAGGCACACACACGCACACACAGTGGCCCTGGGTGAAAATGACGGGTGATCCTGCACAAAATGAAGCTTTGGTCAAAGGCCGGCCCCGCCCCGCCTTACTCGGTGAGCCCGCTACCTGGGATCGACAGACAAGCCATCACTCCGGAATGCAACTAATGACTAAACGGGGCACCCCAGATGATTTCTAGGTTAGTATCTGGACCTCCCCCGTTTTTGCTTTGTTCGGAGACAGACGCGGTTGGCTGAAGTTCCCTCCACTGGGGATGCCGCCAGGAGTGGGGAAATGTAGGCTTCAAAACAGGTCACCCGGCTCGGAGAGGAAGCAGCTTCTCTTTATAGCACGCTGGACTAAATAAAACCCCGAGTGCTGGAGACGCGGCCTAGGGGACTTTTTTATTCCAGGAGAAGAATAATTATTTCCTAAATATAATTCCTTTGGTATAAGACAGCCCCTCCTCATGGCTCTGCACCCTAGAAACGCAACGATATGACAAAAAGAGAAAGAACCCCCGGACAGAGGAAAACCTCAAACCGCTAATTCCTGTTTTGCACAGTGACATGTGAGCTTCTCCGGAGCATTAGGATCCGGGGCTCTGCCTAAAGAAGAAAAAAAAAAAAGAAGAAGAAGAAGAAGCAGAAAATTAAAACAAAATAAATCAACACAAAGGAAAGTGTGTAGGGTCGGTCGGTTCTGCAAGAAGGCGATGTGTGTGTTTCTTGAAATCACGGTGCCACGCAAATCCGCAATAATGACCAAATAGTTTACAGGGACATGGCATTAGGGTCATGATATACCGGAGAAATGTGTCACTGATGCATGGTGGGGCGGAGGGGAAGAAATAGGAATCTCAGCAAAGGATGAGCGTGGATTTGCAAGTACTCGGTGCGTTAAGAGACGGGCACGCACGAGAATGCACGTGGCCGTGTACCCGGACACGTCCGTTCGTGGGCTTGGACATCCCGAGGGTGTGCAGCTTGTACCTGCAACCGGGAAGGGCAGGCGGTCCCGGGTCGACAGAAATCACAATAAGAGAGGTGCATGCGCACGTGCGTGTTTTGCTCAGTCCACCTGCGTGCAGCTGTGCGGGCCCACACGGTATTTCTCGCAGATGAACCGCACACGAGCAAACACAAATCCCCCAGCGTGCTCAGGGCGTGTCTCCGAGTTCTCAGACGGAAGCTTGTGTGCCGATTTGTTACCACTTTGTGCCGGTTTGTTACTACTCGGGCGCCAGTTAGTGACCACTCTGTGTCAGTTTGTTACCACCCTGTTCCCCGCAGCAGAAGTCTACACTGCACACCGCCTTCCTGAGCACGTGCATTGGGAAGGATTCAGAGCCACACGTCCACCTGTGTGCCGCCCCCATCTTACCCACGCTACGACGCACTTGATTTTTCCAGTCGCGCTTGTCGTCTCCGAATTTTTCTGCTTGACTGTCGATGGCGGCTGAGTTGCCCGACGCTGTCATCCTGTTGAGACTCGCTCCGTGGGGCGGGGGCACTCAGGGTGGCGTCGGTGCACGTCTTCTGGGGGTGATGCTCCACGATCGCCTCCGGGCTCAGGCCCATCGCCGCGCAGCGGGTCCCACGCGGGCGAAGGCGCACGGAACGCCAGGTTGAGTCTGGCCCGAGGGTGGGTGACACACAGGGGGGCCCCTGGCCGCAGGCCCTCGGGTCTCTGAGGTCACGGCCCCCATCGCGGTGCTCCTACCCGCGCGGGGACAAACAGCTGACGGCTCACCCCAGGGCTCGT